CTCTGAAGCTCACGCAGCATATAGACGTGCCCGCTCGGTTGCTGCGAATACAAACAGGTGCAAACGCAACCAGTACTTCCAAAGTCAGTGCCAAGATAATTGCCAGAACCCACGCAAGTTATGGTCAGTCCTAAATACTGTGACTGGACGCAAGAGACAATCAATCCAGCCGACATGCGACATCGAACATGTTGCGTCCACGTTTGGCAAGGTAGTCTCTGATGATGCTCGGCCTTCAGTTCTCTCTATGCCTCAGGGACCACAGCCTCGGTCTGCCCTGACCTCATTCCAACATGTGCGTGCCTGCGATGCTGAACAGCTTTTGAAGCGCATCGACCCGCGCAAAGCAACTGGGAGCGACGGCATCCCAGGCTTACTTCTAAAGTACTGTGCCGACCTGCTAGCACCATCAGTTGCAGCACTTTTCAATGCGTCCCTGACCTCCGGCACTGTACCCGCTGGCTTTAAGCGTGCGTATGTGACCCCATTGCACAAGGCTGGCGATCCATCTGTCGCCAACAATTTCCGTCCTGTGTCCCTGCTCCCAATTCTCTCGAAGCTGCTAGAGAAGGTGGTGCAGAAGGCACTTGTCACCTTTCTGGATATGGCTGGTTCTCTGCCCAGCACACAGTTTGCATTCCGGACAGGACATTCCACGGAGGATGCCCTTGTGCTGATGGTAAACAGGATCCTCGCCTCAAGAGACCGCCGCATGTTCACGGGTGTGGTCCTCCTGGATATGTCGAAGGCGTTCGACAAGGTTCGCCACCAGCAACTAGTCGAAGATCTCTTCTGTGTGGGCGTCACTGGAACAGCGCTCCAGTGGCTCATGTCATACTTGTCTGATCGCTGCCAGATTGTCCAGCTGGGATCCCAGCTTAGCACAGTGGCAGCCTGCTCCTGTGGAGTACCACAGGGGTCGGTATTAGGTCCACTGCTGTTCAGCCTTTACACCCGGGACATACCATCTGTTGCCCAGCAAGCTGAGTCCATCCAGTTCGCAGATGACATCGCACTGACCTGCAGTCGCCCAACACAACAGGAACTGACCGCCACTCTCTCCAGAGCAGTGACATGCATTGCTGACTGGCTGAAGCAGCGAGGTTTGATCCTTAATACATCAAAAAGTCAGGCATTGGTAGTACCGGCTGCGAAGCTAGAAGCGCAACCTGAACTGGACGTATGGTGTCATGCGACTAAGCTGCCATCTGTCTCTTCTGCTCGCTACCTCGGAGTTCACATTGACAGCGCCATGTCTTGGAACACCCAGATGGATAGGTGCGTTGCCCGCCTCACCAAGAAAGTCGGTGTGCTGTGGCGGATGCGCCGCTGCCTCAGCATGCAAAGCCGCATCCAGTACTTCAAGTCGGTGATCATGCCTGATTTCTCATATGGCTCCAATGCCTTCTCAGCATCGCTGGCGGGTAAGCACCTGGACCGTCTCCAAGTTCTGCAGAATCGTGCGGCTCGAGCTGTGTACGGATGCTCGCCGCGCACCTCTGCCAGAAACCTGCTAGTCCAACTCGGCGCCTACCGTGTCCGGGAGATCTTCATCCAGAAGCTCATCTTCCTGGTTTGGCGCTGCCGCTACTCCCGTGCTAGCCCCACACTGCAAGTGCTGTTGCTACCAACCAGTGGCGCTCCTACTCGGCTGCAATTATCTATGGGTCTAAGACCACCGCCAACCCGCACTGAGCTGGGTAAGGGTTGTCTCGCGTTCCAAGGAGCTAGGCTCTGGAATGCGTTGCCCAGCGAGGTGCGGGCCATACCGCACCCGGCCCAATTTCGCACTGCTGCTGTTCCACACAGCATGAACCCTTGAGGTCAGACAGATCACTATCGCCATATTTTCATTATATGCCTGCCTGTTGGCCTGCCTGCCCGTCTCTCTCCCTGTTCTCTGACAACTTGCTTGTTAATTCGTGCGGTTGTTTTCAGACGTAAAGCCCTGCTGTAGAGGTCTCAGCCCTCATTTGTTAGTCTCTCTCTCTCTCTCTCTCTCTCTCTCTCTCTCTCTCTCTCTCTCTCTCTCTCTCTCTCTCTCTCTCTGTTTTTGGTGGACAAAAATATCTCTGGCGTTGATTGCTTTCTTGCTTCGACTTCTGCCGCGCCTTTGTTCTCGTACTCCCCTTTATGTACAAGTGTTGTGCAGACCCTCCCTTAATATAGTCTGTCTCATTTTGTCCTGAGATGTTTTGATGCATAGTGATTATGACGCTCATCATTCGCTCCCTTGTCACTGGACAGTTCTGTCCGTTTGGTTTTAGCGAATTCAAATAAAGAAAACAACAACAACAACAGTAACAATCGATATTCTTTGTTCCGTTGGGACTGTAGCTTTTTGCTCGTTTTTCGTTGCGCTTGCCTTCCACTCTTTGGTCTTTAATAACCTTGAACCTTCCAAGTTGGAAGGCTGTCGGTTAGCGCTACGGAGATGTGTTGAAGCTAGGTGTCAGGACGTCGAATGTCTCAGTACTCTGTCAGTTTTGTGCCTAGTTATTGCACTTTCTGACTGTATTTAGTACTGTATCTAGTTACAGTGCATGAAAGTGATGGAGAGTTACTCTTAAGGGGGCACATCACCCAAAAATTTCATATGGCATTCAATTGACCGTAACTTTGGTGTTTCTCAGTGGATTTGAGTGAAATTTTGACCACACACTCCTGCCACTATGCTGGCCCTCAGGACATGATTTACAAGTTCTTGCGTCTCACTGACAGGCTTTCCAGGCCGGAAAAACTCAAATTTCCGGCATAGTGCTACGGTGTGCGAGCCACCCAGGAGCCAAACAAATGCATTTACATTTTTTCACATTTTCGTGCCCTTTCTGTCCGTGCGCGGGACCCAAACCTAAAACAAGTCCAGAAGCAGCCATGGGTGGTGGGGTAGGGCCCCTCAACGTGGCCCTGGAATCTGTCACAACGGAACGAGTGGGCGTTCTTTCACGGACTCCCACAGACCCAAGGCAATTTTTGAATTTTTTTAGGTTTGGCACGTGCTACGAGGTCGTACCTTTGATACAACATCCAGTGCTGGGACCTCCACAGCAAGCCATTTCCACAGCGCTGCAAACCAAATCCAGGATGCCCTCAGAAACCGGCAAAGACTGCCACTCACGTTTCACTACTGCCTAGTACTGAATCCTACCTGACTTCTTGACACGACTCAAACTTGCCAAAGTCACTAAATCAACGTCAACTACAATAATCAAGCCACATATCTGCAACGTCACGAGGGTGCTGGCAAAAGTCCTGCTGCACGGCGGCGGGCTTCGCCCGCCGCCGTGCAGCCCAATACGTGGTTTTTTAACGTGATTTTTTGGACTTTTTTGGACTTGGGGCAAAATTCTGCACACTTTCGCGTGTTTCCATAATACGACAAGTTGCGCACGGTCTGCTCACATTCAAATACAGTGCTGCCAACAAATGACAGCATGCAACAAAAAAATCTTTCCTTGCAAGGGGCACATTTTCGGCCATAACTCTTGAACGGCTGGTCAGATAGGGACACAGTTTTCAGAGAATTTGCAGCTATTCATGCTCTTTCAACTGACGTAGCACTCAATATGAATTTACAAATTCGATTTTTCAGCGAATTTTTGGGTGATGTGCCCCCTTAACTCGTATCCATAATTATGTCCTTTTCTTTTCTACATTAATTTTATTTATGGCTCAACATCCGAGTTGTAAATCATTTCTCCAGATTTGTGTAACTAGCTGGCTCGCGGTTGGGCATGCTTCATACATGGCTTGTCAGTAAGTTGTATGCCTTTACCTGAATACATAGCTACATACCGACGTCCTTTGATGATTGTGGCAATGTGGCCAGGTCAATGTACAGTCATGTACATGTATGTAGCACTTAGTGGCAAAGGTGTTAGTATGATTGTGCTCTTACTGACTAGTTTAGTCTTACGTGTCTACACAATCACACAGTCACGTGCCGGTACAATGACTATGTACATGTACAAGGTTGCACGTCATCATGATCACTGTAGTCTGTCGGCTAAGTGTAGCCGATTGTTGCCAAAAACCTGGCATTTCCTGAACTCATTATGCCGCTCAAACCTCACATAATGCTCCTTTTGTTCCTTTCTAATGCTCCGTAATGCTCTGATGTTCGGATAGTCTTATAATGCCCAATATAATGCCGGCAGTATCCGCTGGACCCTAGACTGTATGCTCAGATACACAAAGAGCAGACATGAATGATCCACACAATCATACGGAACGAAGTTTTTAGCAAACGCGAGCTCTAGCAAGTCACGCCGAGCAAACATCGAGCGAGCGACGCATGACGCCCACGTTGAGCACCACATATTAATGCCATGGTGAATGCCACGTCGCACGTCGCCCACACGTTGAATGTCACGTTCAATGACACGTAAATTGTAACGTCACCATAGAGTGCCACGCGCGTAGGTCTACGCGTGCATGCAGCTTGAGAAGTACTGTAAAAGCCATAATTATATGTAACGAAGTGCTAATTCTAACGAGTTAACGAGGAGAAATCTGTCGTTAGAATAGAAATCGCTATACAGAGATCGATACATATGCTGTTCTATTGAGCGTTGAGAACGCGTGAGAATCGTTACCTTTGCTACACGTAAACTAGTCTTTTTTGGAAATCGTTTTTTATATGCGCCTCGTTAGAATAATGGCTTTTACAGTACCCTAAACTAAAGCCTAAGGGTGGGGTAGTACTTGACCTGTGAGTGGATCCATGAGAGAGGAAAGCAGCTACTAGACTAACTGAACCTCAGTGCATGTATTTCTACGCAGAAGCCTGGCGAAGGTTCACGAACCGTAGCGGGGGCGATCTTTATTATCTTTATTATAGTACTGTACTTCGAAGTATTGTCAAAGTCTGCGTGTAGTAGTACAATACTTCAGTAAATACTGCGCGTGGGCCTTGTTTGCTCACAGACATCTAGCATATGGCCAAAGTGCCTCTTGAGTGGTGTGGATCCAGGGGAGAGGAAAGCGGCTACTAACTGAACCGAAGTGCATGTATTTCTACGCAGACGCCTGGCGAAGGTTGACGAAGAGTAGCGAGGGCGATCGTTAATAGTATTGTCTTAGTCTAAGATAGCAGTACAGTATTTCACTTGGCGGCAGAAGGAGCGGAAGGAGAATCTGCCTCTAACAGGTTGTCCAGTTGGAGATTTTGAGTTTTCCAACATGGCGGCAGACAAGTATAATTATAATAACAATAATAATATTATACAATGTATTCGCGTGAAGAAGAGGCTGGACTTTCTTGGGCACTGAAAGAAGGACTATAGCAGAGCTGCCGTAAGTAAAGTATGTCCTGTTTGTTATCTCTTCCACTAGGAAGTTCTAAATTCTTTTCCAACTGGCGTAGCAGAGTCTGTACTATTATCAGAGTAAATACTTAGCGAGATGCACTGAAAACCTGCAACTAACCTTACTTATCACGTGGAAGTGCATAATAATAACTGAGGGCATGCGATCAGTCACTCTGCAGACGTCTTCAGAACGTTTGCGAAGCAATTGGAAACACGTTGTAGTGCGAGGGAAAGCTACTAGTGTTTGTCTGGAGGTGCCTTCACGGGAAAGCTAGTGCCATATTGTCTGTACTGTTCGTAAGATCTGAGTCATCAGAGGTCCAACGGTCTGCTCATTCAGCCATCCTCGGCCGTCCGTCGCAGGATATGCACTCTGGAACCTGCTGCTGGATGACGTTCGGACCATAGCAAGACAGAACAGGTTTAGCATAAGCTGCCTACAATTTGTTGCTCAGACTAGCCCTCCCCTAGCTCTCCTCGACCACCCTGTCACCCCTGATACTCGCTTGACTCGTCTGTCAGACACTTCTTCTTTCGTAATTTTCTAAGTCCTGTCCTCTCTTTTCTAATTGCGGCTCATCCATTCGCCTTTATATCATTAGGCCTAGTTCCCGTTTATTGTGCCAATTAAAATAAACCAACCAACCAACCATATTGGACAGTAGGTGGTGGACGTGTGGGAGTACACTTCCCATGCACAGCAGTACGTGCAGTTACATCCAGATATATCCAGTATTTGCAGTCCCAAAACGTGTCGTAGCTGGTTATATAATGGCTCGAAAGGTATCCTTCTCGTTATATGAACATTGTTTGCAATGAGAAATGTTAGCTCTGGCGGTCTCAGTCTTTGATTTCAGTGGAGGACTAATTTGTGTCTATTGAACGGCGTGCAGGCCATTTCCTTGAACACAGGTAGATTCATGAATTGTAAATTAGGGACGTGATAGCATAAGGAAAAACTGACGTTGCCGGTGCTTAGAGATTTCAAACATGGCAGGAATCCAGCTTCGGAAAAGAGTGTCTCCTTTGCTGGTACGGTGTGGTCCTTTCACTTTCATGCCAACTTGAGTTTTGCCGGAATTTAAATATCTCCAGTAGGTGTGCATTGACTTTGCCAAGTCAAAAACCTGTCTTTTCTACTTTTCCCCACAAATTTTCTTTGTGAGAAGACAACTTTGGCGACCACTCCAAGTACAAGTACAAGGTAGAGTTCGCAGGATCCTATCTCGTTGGATACTGATTTTGTCACCCTACTTTTCATCTTGTACCATGTGTGCTGTGTGCATGCAGGTGCAATTATAAGTTCAACATCTGAGCCGGTTCTGCCCCCTACGACACTGACATGGCTTCTCACAGTCAGTTTGTCAGTGACTGTTGCTGGAACAAGTCGTTTTTCTGTTCTCTTTCCTCTGCTTTTATTACCGGTTTGACCTTTTTCATCACACTTGCATACTTCACGATTGTTTTGTTCCCCAGCTTTTCACTCAAATCTGACATACACACACCCACATGTATGCGTGTGTCTGCCCGTCTGTTGAATGTGATTTGTTTTGGGCAGCCCATCGTCCGAGTCATTCCTTTGCTGGCGAAGAACGCGGTGATGATGACGAAAATGATGATAATATGGTAAGTTGGAATGAGCTTCAAGCAGTTACCTCTGTATGATGAAAATAATGGAAGTAATTATGCAACCGATGATGATAACTTTTGCTCTCTTGCCACTTTGTATTGCCGTTGAGGCTGTACAATGGTAAGCTAGTGCACTGAGGTTGCTGGTGGGGTTTGGGGATGCTGTGTGGTGTTTGCAAGTACCTGGGAAGAGATCTTGCTGTGGTGTGTGTTGCGTTTCTTGTTCTTTGGAATGGCGGAATGTCTCCACAATCCAGTTGGAAGGACCAGGTACTGAGGGTTTGGAGGCACTCATAATGTGTACTGTTACCATTATGGGTGTCCTTCCAGCTGCCCTTTAAAAGAATAATGCAGGGTTCAGCTGGGCCCGGGTAGTAAGTCATTCCACAAAAAAAGATTAAAGAAAGAGAAAAAAGAATGACCCGGTGCGGGCGGGAAGTCATTTTGCATTAAAAAAGAAGAAAAAAAGAAGAAGAAAAGAAAGAAAAGAAGAATGACTCACCGGTGCTTGACGACAAAAAAAAGAATGTGGTGGGCTCCGTGCCTGCAGCATGCATGTCGTGTTTCACTGAGGCTCAGTCCCAGTGCCCGCTTTCTTTTTCATTTGGTCCCATGCACGCACGGTTGGGCCGAGTACATGTGATACGCACATCATTGCTGTGCGTATCACTCATGATTTCATACTTTTCTATGGCCAGTTCCATGGCTGGAAACCTGGATCTGTTTGAGACTATCTGAGATGTCCAAACTCCGGAGGTCCGTGGTGTTGTATTCTTCAACACTGCGGGGTTCGACGCTATTTCCGAACACATATTATTTCCTTTTTCTTTTGTTGTTGGCCTAGGATGATACACTGCACTGGTTGGTGTCTATTGGACATCTGTGCATGCTGAGGCCATTTCCACTGTCTTGAAGTGTGCGTGCGTGCGTGCCCGCGTTTTTGGCAGTGTGCGTTTAGTGGTTCCTTTTTCTTTGTGTTTGCACTTTTGCTTGTTTATGGAAGGATATCGGAGAGCCGGAGGAAGCTGCACCAGGTACAGCTGGTTGGAGTCAAGTGGATCCGCGAGAAAAAAGAAGGACAATATTGAAGTCCAGCTTGAAGTAAGTAACTGAGTTTAGAAGACCACAGCTGTTTTCCACTGAGTTGTGTTGGCCTACAATCTTACAACAGGACACTGTGAGGCACTGTTGATGACACACTTTCATGCCAACTTGAGTTTTGTCAGAGTTTAGATACCTCCAGCAGGTGTGCATTGACTTTGCCAAGTCTAAAACCTGTCTTTTCTACCTTTCCCCACAAGTGTTCTTTGTGAGAAGACAACTTTGGCGACCACTCCAAGTACAATGTACAAGGTAGAGTTCACAGGATCCTGTCTCGGTGGAAACTGATTTTGTCCCCCTACTTGTTTTCTTCTACCTGGTAATCATCTGTACTGTGTGCATGCAGGTGCAATTATAAGTTCAACATCTGAGCCGGTTCTGCCCCCTACGACACTGACATGGCTTCTCACAGTCAGTTTGTCAGTGACTGTTGCTGGAACAAGACGTTTTTCTGTTCTCTTTCCTCTGCTTTTATTACCGGTTTGAATTTTTTCATCACACTTGCATACTTCACGATTGTTTTGTTCCCCAGCTTTTCACTCAAATCTGACATACACACACCCACATGTTTGCGTGTGTCTGCCCGTCTGTTGAATGTGATTTGTTTTGGGCAGCCCATCGTCCGAGTTATTCCTTTGCTGGCGAAGAACGCGGTGATGATGACGAAAATGATGATAATAAGGTAAGTTGGAATGAGCTTGCAAGCTGTTTCCTCTGTATGATGAAAATAATGGAAGTAATTATGCAACCGATGATGATAACTTTTGCGCTCTTGCCACTTTGTATTGTCGCTGAGGCTGTACCATGGTGAGCTAGTGCACTGAGGTTGCTGGCGGGGTTTGGGGATGCTGTGTGGTGTTTGCAAGTACCTGGGAAGAGATCTTGCTGTGGTGTGTGTTGCGTTTCTTGTTCTTTGGAATGGCGGAATGTCTCCACAATCCAGTTGGAAGGACCAGGTACTGATGGTTTGGAGGCACTCATAATGTGTACTGTTACCATTATGGGTGTCCTTCCAGCTGCCCTTTAAAAGAATAATGCAGGGTTCAGCTGGGCCCGGGTAGTAAGTCATTCCACAAAAAAAGATTAAAGAAAGAGAAAAAAGAATGACCCGGTGCGGGCGGGAAATCATTCTGCATTAAAAAAGAAGAAAAAAAGAAGAAGAAAAGAAAGAAAAGAAGAATGACTCACCGGTGCTTGACGACAAAAAAATAATGTGGTGGGCTCCGTGCCTGCAGCATGCATGTCGTGTTTCACTGAGGCTCAGTCCCAGTGCCCGCTTTCTTTTTCATTTGGTCCCATGCACGCACGGTTGGGCCGAGTACATGTGATACGCACATCATTGCTGTGCGTATCACTCATGATTTCATACTTTTCTATGGCCAGTTCCATGGCTGGAAACCTGGATCTGTTTGAGACTATCTGAGATGTCCAAACTCCGGAGGTCCGTGGTGTTGTATTCTTCAACACTGCGGGGTTCGACGCTATTTCCGAACACATATTATTTCCTTTTTCTTTTGTTGTTGGCCTAGGATGATACACTGCACTGGTTGGTGTCTATTGGACATCTGTGCATGCTGAGGCCATTTCCACTGTCTTGAAGTGTGCGTGCGTGCGTGCCCGCGTTTTTGGCAGTGTGCGTTTAGTGGTTCCTTTTTCTTTGTGTTTGCACTTTTGCTTGTTTATGGAAGGATATCGGAGAGCCGGAGGAAGCTGCACCAGGTACAGCTGGTTGGAGTCAAGTGGATCCGCGAGAAAAAAGAAGGACAATATTGAAGTCCAGCTTGAAGTAAGTAACTGAGTTTAGAAGACCACAGCTGTTTTCCACTGAGTTGTGTTGGCCTACAATCTTACAACAGGACACTGTGAGGCACTGTTGATGACACACTTTCATGCCAACTTGAGTTTTGTCAGAGTTTAGATACCTCCAGCAGGTGTGCATTGACTTTGCCAAGTCTAAAACCTGTCTTTTCTACCTTTCCCCACAAGTGTTCTTTGTGAGAAGACAACTTTGGCGACCACTCCAAGTACAATGTACAAGGTAGAGTTCACAGGATCCTGTCTCGGTGGAAACTGATTTTGTCCCCCTACTTGTTTTCTTCTACCTGGTAATCATCTGTACTGTGTGCATGCAGGTGCAATTATAAGTTCAACATCTGAGCCGGTTCTGCCCCCTACGACACTGACATGGCTTCTCACAGTCAGTTTGTCAGTGACTGTTGCTGGAACAAGACGTTTTTCTGTTCTCTTTCCTCTGCTTTTATTACCGGTTTGAATTTTTTCATCACACTTGCATACTTCACGATTGTTTTGTTCCCCAGCTTTTCACTCAAATCTGACATACACACACCCACATGTTTGCGTGTGTCTGCCCGTCTGTTGAATGTGATTTGTTTTGGGCAGCCCATCGTCCGAGTTATTCCTTTGCTGGCGAAGAACGCGGTGATGATGACGAAAATGATGATAATAAGGTAAGTTGGAATGAGCTTGCAAGCTGTTTCCTCTGTATGATGAAAATAATGGAAGTAATTATGCAACCGATGATGATAACTTTTGCGCTCTTGCCACTTTGTATTGTCGCTGAGGCTGTACCATGGTGAGCTAGTGCACTGAGGTTGCTGGCGGGGTTTGGGGATGCTGTGTGGTGTTTGCAAGTACCTGGGAAGAGATCTTGCTGTGGTGTGTGTTGCGTTTCTTGTTCTTTGGAATGGCGGAATGTCTCCACAATCCAGTTGGAAGGACCAGGTACTGATGGTTTGGAGGCACTCATAATGTGTACTGTTACCATTATGGGTGTCCTTCCAGCTGCCCTTTAAAAGAATAATGCAGGGTTCAGCTGGGCCCGGGTAGTAAGTCATTCCACAAAAAAAGATTAAAGAAAGAGAAAAAAGAATGACCCGGTGCGGGCGGGAAATCATTCTGCATTAAAAAAGAAGAAAAAAAGAAGAAGAAAAGAAAGAAAAGAAGAATGACTCACCGGTGCTTGACGACAAAAAAATAATGTGGTGGGCTCCGTGCCTGCAGCATGCATGTCGTGTTTCACTGAGGCTCAGTCCCAGTGCCCGCTTTCTTTTTCATTTGGTCCCATGCACGCACGGTTGGGCCGAGTACATGTGATACGCACATCATTGCTGTGCGTATCACTCATGATTTCATACTTTTCTATGGCCAGACTGGTTCCATGGCTGGAAACCTGGATCTGTTTGAGACTATCTGAGATGTCCAAACTCCGGAGGTCCTTGGTGTTGTATTTTTCAACACTGCGGGGTTCGACGCTATTTCCGAACACATATTATTTCCTTTTTCTTTTGTTGTTGGCCTAGGATGATACGCTGCACTGGTTGGTGTCTATTGGACATCTGTGCATGCTGAGGCCATTTCCACTGTCTTGAAGTGTGCGTGCGTGCGTGCCCGCGTTTTTGGCAGTGTGTGTTTAGTGGTTCCTTTTTCTTTGTGTTTGCACTTTTGCTTGTTTATGGAAGGATATCGGAGAGCCGGAGGAAGCTGCACCAGGTACAGCTGGTTGGAGTCAAGTGGATCCGCGAGAAAAAAGAAGGACAATATTGAAGTCCAGCTTGAAGTAAGTAACTGAGTTTAGAAGACCACAGCTGTTTTCCACTGAGTTGTGTTGGCCTACAATCTTAGAATAGGACACTGTCAGGCACTGTTGATGATACACTTTCATGCCAATTTGAGTTTTGTCAGAGTTTAGACACCGCCAGCAGGTGTGCATTGACTTTGCCAAGTCAAAAACCTGTCTTTTCTACCTTTCCCCACTAGGTTAATTTGTGAGAAGATAACTTTGCCGACCACTCCAATTACAATAGACAAGGTAGAGTTTACAGGATCCTATCTCGGTGGATACTGGTTTTGTCACCCTACTTTTTATCTTGTACCATCTGTACTGTGTTCATGCAAGTGCAATTATAAGTACAACATCTGAGCCGGTTTTGCCCCCTACGACACTGACGATTGGATTGGATTGGATTGGATTTTTATTTATAGTGGTGACTATAACAGACAATTGCCTAATAACAATAGACCCACTCGAGGGAAAGATGCAAAAAGATTTGAATAATTAACATAGTAGACTACCGGTATTGGATAGGTGATCATGTTCGCATTTTGCATAGCTGAAAGTCATAATTACTAGCGTGAAAAAGCAAGGCATTGGGGTAACAGTTTCTTAAAACGGTCGATGCTTCTCACAGTCAGTTCGTCAGTGACTGTTGCTGGAACAAGACGTTTTTCTGTTCTCTTTCCTCTGCTTTTATTACCGGTTTGACCTTTTTCATCACACTTGCATACTTCACGATTGTTTTGTTCCCCAGCTTTTCACTCAAATCTGACATACACACACCCACATGTATGCGTGTGTCTGCCCGTCTGTTGAATGTGATTTGTTTTGGGCAGCCCATCGTCCGAGTTATTCCTTTGCTGGCGAAGAACGCGGTGATGATGACGAAAATGATGATAATAATTATGGTAAGTTGGAATGAGCTTGCAAGCTGTTGCCTCTGTATGATGAAAAGAATGGAAGTAATTATGCAACCGATGATGATAACTTTTGCGCTCTTGCCACTTTGTATTGCCGCTGAGGCTGTACCATGGTGAGCTAGTGCACTGAGGTTGCTGGCGGGGTTTGGGGATGCTGTGTGGTGTTTGCAAGTACCTGGGAAGAGATCTTGCTGTGGTGTGTGTTGCGTTTCTTGTTCTTTGGAATGGCGGAATGTCTCCACAATCCAGTTGGAAGGACCAGGTACTGATGGTTTGGAGGCACTCATAATGTGTACTGTTACCATTATGGGTGTCCTTCCAGCTGCCCTTTAAAAGAATAATGCAGGGTTCAGCTGGGCCCGGGTAGTAAGTCATTCCACAAAAAAAGATTAAAGAAAGAGAAAAAAGAATGACCCTGAGCGGGCGGGAAGTCATTCTGCATTAAAAAAGAAGGAAAAAAAGAAGAAGAAAAGAAAGAAAAGAAGAATGACTCACCGGTGCTTGACGACAAAAAAAAGAATGTGGTGGGCTCCGTGCCTGCAGCATGCATGTCGTGTTTCACTGAGGCTCAGTCCCAGTGCCCGCTTTCTTTTTCATTTGGTCCCATGCACGCACGGTTGGGCCGAGTACATGTGATACGCACATCATTGCTGTGCGTATCACTCATGATTTCATACTTTTCTACGGCCAGTTCCATGGCTGGAAACCTGGATCTGTTTGAGACTATCTGAGATGTCCAAACTCCGGAGGTCCGTGGTGTTGTATTCTTCAACACTGCGGGGTTCGACGCTATTTCCGAACACATATTATTTCCTTTTTCTTTTGTTGTTGGCCTAGGATGATACACTGCACTGGTTGGTGTCTATTGGACATCTGTGCATGCTGAGGCCATTTCCACTGTCTTGAAGTGTGCGTGCGTGCGTGCCCGCGTTTTTGCCAGTGTGTGTTTAGTGGTTCCTTTTTCTTTGTGTTTGCACTTTTGCTTGTTTATGGAAGGATATCGGAGAGCCGGAGGAAGCTGCACCAGGTACAGCTGGTTGGAGTCAAGTGGATCCGCGAGAAAAAAGAAGGACAATATTGAAGTCCAGCTTGAAGTAAGTAACTGAGTTTAGAAGACCACAGCTGTTTTCCACTGAGTTGTGTTGGCCTACAATCTTAGAACAGGACACTGTCAGGCACCGTTGATGACACATTTTCACGCCAACTGGAGTTTTGTCAGAGTTTAGACACCTCCATCAGGTGTGCATTGACTTTGCGAAGTCTAAAACCTGTCTTTTCTACCTTTCCCCACTAGGTTTATTTGTGAGAAGATAACTTTGCCGACCACTCCAATTACAATAGACAAGGTAGAGTTCACAGGATTCTGTCTCGGTGGATACTGATTTTGTCACCCTACTTTTTATCTTGTACCATGTGTGCTGTGTGCATGCAGGTGCAATTATAAGTACAACATCTGAGCCGGTTTTGCCCCCTACGACACTGACGATGCTTCTCACAGTCAGTTCGTCAGTGACTGCTGCTGGAACATGTCATTTTTGTGTTCTCTCTTCTCTGCTTTTATTGCCGGTTTGAAAGTTTACATCGCACTTGTATACTTCACGATTGTTTTGTTCCCCAGCTTTTCACTCAAATCTGACATACACACACACACACACACACACACACACACACACACACACATATGTATGCGAGTGTCTGCCCGTCTGTTGAATGTGACTTATTTTGGGCAGCCCATCGTCCGAGGAATTCCGTTGCTGGCGAAGAACGCGATGATAATATGGTGAGTTGGAGTGAGCTTTCAAGCTGTTGCCTCTGTATGATGAAAATAATTTAATAATTATGCAACCGCCTTTTTTACAGGCAAACAAAACAAAATGTGCCATTGTGGAGAAGCAGAGCACAATAGTGGCAAAACAATTCCATGAAAAGAAGAATGTTTTTAAAAGTATTTCAATGTTGATGATGAAAACTATTACATGTATAATGACTTTTAATGACTTTTATTGTGGTTGTGATACTGTTGTTGTCTTCGTGTTTTACCACAGCATGTTGATATTTTGGAGGCTGAGCCCATCATGACCAGTAGATACTCGGCCGTTGCTGGGGAAGAAAGCGATGATGAAGACGCTGATGATGATAATAATTATGGTAAGTTTGAATCGTGGCTTGGAAGCTGTTGCCTCTGTATGATGAAAATAATGCAAGCAACCGATGATGATAAATGATGAGAAATCTGTCGTTAGAATAGAAATCGTTATACAGAAATCGATACATACAATGTATGCTGTTCTATTGAGCGTTGAGAACGCGTGAGAATCGTTACCTTTGGTACACGACACGTAAACTAGTCTTTTTGGAAATCGTTATTACATGTATATGCGCCTCGTTAGAATAATGGCTTTTACAGTACCCTAAACTAAAGCCTAAGGGTGGGGTAGTACTTGACCTGTGAGTGGATACATCGGAGAGAGGAAAGCAGCTACTAACTGAACCTCAGTGCATGTATTTCTACGCGGAAGCCTGGCGGAGGTTCACGAACAGTAGCGGGGGCGATCTTTATTATAGTACTTCGAAGTACGTACTTAAGTATAGGGCTTGAAAGTGCTACGTCACAGCATAGCAACAATTTCAAAAATTCAAAAATTGGATCCACTTGGATCCAGTTTTTGTATGGATCCAAGCACATTTCAAGCCGTCTTACTCACAGCAAGGTGATGTAACCAGTGAAACTGACTGATTTGGCTACTGGGGGCGGGGTTACAACTGGTGGCGAAGTAAAAGTCGTCCCTGCCTACGACATGAGTGGGTTGCTATGCACCCACATACTGAGGCAATAGCAAAGTCAAACCTTAGTGGATCCAAAATAGAAATAATGATGTCAACTTAGTCACTCCCTGCGGGTTTTGACGTCATCACTTTCAAGCCCTATTGTCGAAGTCTACGTGTAGCAGTACAGTACATGTACTTCAGTAAGACTAGTCTACGTACTAAGCTAGGATGTGTAGAATACCACGTACTGTTACTGTTCGAAGTATTGTCGAAGTCCACGTGTAGTACATGTAGAGTGTAGTACAGCACTTCAGTAAGGCTAGTCTAGGTAGGATGTGTAGAATAACACGCACTGTTAGTACTGCGCGTGGGCCTTTTTTGCTCACAGACATCTAGCATATGGCCAAAGGGCCCCTTGAGAAGTAATTAGTTGAGTGGTGTGGATCCAGGGGAGAGGAAAGCGGCTACTAACTGAACCGCAGTGCATGTATTTCTACGCAGACGCCTGGCGAAGGTTGACGAAGAGTAGCGAGGGCGATCGTTATTATACAGTATTGTCTTAGTCTAAGTATGCAGTACAGTATTTCACTTGGCGGCAGAAGGAGCGGAAGGAGAATCTGGCTCTAACAGGTTGTCCAGTTGGAGATTTTGAGTTTTCCAAAATGGCGGCGGACAAGTATATAAATAATATACAATGTATTCGCGTGAAGAAGAGCCTGGACTTTCTTGGGCACTGAAAGAAGGACTATAGCAGAGCTGCCGTAAGTAAAGTATGTCCTGTTTGTTATCTCTTCCACTAGGAAGTTCTAAATTCTTTTCCAACTGGCTTAGCAGAGTCTGTACTATTATCAGAGTAAATACTTAGCGAGATGCACTGAAAACCTGCAACTAACCTTACTGATCACGTGGAAGTGCATAATAATAACTGAGGGCATGCGATCAGTCACTCTGCAACGTCTTCAGAACGTTTGCGAAGCAATTGGAAATACGTTGTATTGCGAGGGCAAGCTACTAGTGTTTGTCTGGAGGTGCCTTCACGGGACAGCTAGTGCCACGTTGTCTGTACTGTTCGTAAGATCTGAGTCATCAGAGGTCCAATGGTCTGCTCATTCAGCCATCCTCGGCCGTCCGTCGCAGGATATGCACTCTGGAATCTGCTGACGGATGACGTTCGGACCAAAGCAAGACAGAACAGGTTTAGCATAAGTTGCCTACAATTTGTTGCTCAGACTAGCCCTCCCCTAGCTCTCCTCGACCACCCTGTCACCCCTGATACTCGCTTGACTCGTCTGTCAGACACTTCTTCTTTCGTAATTTTCTAAGTCCTGTCCTCTCTTTTCTAATTGCGGCTCATCCATTCGCCTTTATATCATTAGGCCTAGTTCCCGTTTATTGTTCGAATTAAAATAAACCAACCAACCAGCCATATTGGCCAGTAGGTGGTGGACGTGTGGGAGTAAACTTCCCATGCACAGCAGTACGTGCAGTTATATCCAGATATATCCAGTATTTGCAGTCCCAAAACGTGTCGTAGCTGGTTATAATATTGGCTCGAAAGGTGTCCTTCTCGTTATATGAACATTGTTTGCAATGAGAAATGTTAGCTCTGACGGTCTCAGTCTTTGATTTTAGTGGAGGGCTAATTTGTGTCTATTGAACAGCGTGCAGGCCCATTCCTTGAACACAGGTAGATTAAATGAATTGTATATTAGGGACGTGATAGCATAAGGAGAAACTGACGTTGCCGGTGCTTAGAGATTTCGAGCATGGCAGGAATCCAGCTTCCGAAAAGAGTGTCTCCTTTGCTGGTAAGGTGTGGTTCTTTCACTTTCATGCCAACTTGAGTTTTGCCGGAATTTAAATATCTCCAGCAGGTGTGCATTGACTTTGCCAAGTCAAAACCCTGTCTTTTCTACCGTTTCCCCACAAGTTGTGAGAAGACAACTTTGGCGACCACTGCAAGTGCAATGTACAAGGTAGAGTACACAGGATCCTGTCTCGGTAGATACTGATTTTGTCCCCCTACTTTTTTCTTGTACCATCTGTACTGTGTGCATGCAGGTGCAATTATAAGTTCAACATCTGAGCCGGTTCTACCCCCTACGACACTGACGATGCTTCTCACAGTCAGTTTGTCAGTGACTGTTGCTTGAACAAGTCGTTTTTCAGTCACTCATGATTTCATACTTTTCTACGGCCAGTTCCATGGCTGGAAACCTGGATCTGTTTGAGACTATCTGAGATGTCCAAACTCCGGAGGTCCGTGGTGTTGCATTCTTCAACACTGCGGGGTTCGACGCTATTTCCGAACACATATTATTTCCTTTTTCTTTTGTTGTTGGCCTAGGATGATACGCTGCACTGGTTGGTGTCTATTGGACATCTGTGCATGCTGAGGCCATTTCCACTGTCTTGAAGTGTGCGTGCGTGCGTGCCCGCGTTTTTGGCAGTGTGTGTTTAGTGGTTCCTTTTTCTTTGTGTTTGCACTTTTGCTTGTTTATGGAAGGATATCGGAGAGCCGGAGGAAGCTGCACGAGGTACAGCTGGTTGGAGTCAAGTGGATCCGCGAGAAAAAAGAAGGACAGTATTGAAGTCCAGCTTGAAGTAAGTAACTGAGTTTAGAAGACCACAGCTGTTTTCCACTGAGTTGTGTTGGCCTACAATCTTAGAACAGGACACTGTCAGGCACCGTTGATGATTACGCTTCTTTCACGGGCAAACAAAACACAATTTGCCATGGTGGAGAAATAGAACACAATACAAATACTGGCGAAACAATTTCATGAAAAGAAGAATGTGTTTTAATTATCGTCATCAACAGTGAAATACTTTTAAGATGACGATGATTATTACGTGTTTAGAACCAACTCGTAAAAAGGCCAAGTCAATCTCCCATTGACACAAAGCTCGTTTATTTAACATAATCATATCCTATCCAATAAAAACAGTTCATAAAAACAGTTCCTAAAAACAGTTCATAAAAACAGCTTTTTAGGATCGGACCCAGTCCGCATACCCAAGAGAGCTAGCTCCCTTGGCTGCTGTTGGAATATGCAAGAATGGGCCTTCCAGATAAGGTCTAACAAGGAGAAGTGGCTATAGTTATGAAATGAACACCGGTAACCATGGAGACATACCTCACTTTCATTATAGATACTGGTTATAAATAGACCGAATAAGGAAAATGGTCTGATAGCCTATGAAGAGTAAAAGAAATTGAACCAATGACAGCAAATACTCGTCAAGCACACGAGTTGTCATAGCAACACAAATAACAGTTGTCCACTAATTTTGTTGTTGGAGATTGAGTAGGAGTTTATACTGGTTGATTCTAAAATACAATAAATGCTCCGGCCTTGGGGGACCTCGGTTTTTATAATAGTTTTCATTGGTCATAAACCCTCGGCCTCCTCATATATTGTATACATTATGACTTTTTATTGTGGTTGTGATATTGTTGTTGTCTTCTTGTCTTGACACATCATGTTAATATTTTGGAGGCTGAGCCCATCGTGTCCAGTAGTTGCGCGGCCACTCTGCAGATGGCCGAATAAGAAAGGTGAGAGCGCCATGCCAGTGCCATTCTCCTGTACCCTCATGTTGCTCTCTACTCCAGCAGTGTACTAGCTAACTCATCTCGGGTTGAAATCCAACATCAATTATAAGACCGGTTGAGTTTACATGGACCATTCTGTGACTCGAGTCCTGTATGAGGCTGTGACTCTGTGTGAGCTGAGTGAGGAGAGTGACTTCGACAACCGTACACGGACTACAGTACATGACTTTTGCATGTACTTTCAGACCACTGAAATGGTAGACTCATGAGTGGATTCTGTCCACTGCCACTGCCCGTCGTCACTTCGTCGTCACTTGACGACGGGCAGTGGAACTTGTTCCATCACCATTCAGCAGGCAGGATCGCGCTTTCCAGCCCGCGTAATCTTATCTGTCATTGGTCGACTCCAAGGCGACAGTCATGTGACATACGGGAATAAGTTTTTTTATCGTTTCATGCCCAGCTCTTTTACATTAGCTTGAAAGTTTAGTTTCAACTCGTTAGTGCTTGCGATTGCCTGATGGCGTTTACTTGCGCTTTATTGTGCTGGTCTGTGGACTTATTTGGGATGATTGCCGTGGCTGACGTGTTCTCTAGTGCCTTCCTATTATGTTGACTGCTGGCTTGTTAGATTTCCTGGTGCAGCAGAAGTCTAAATCGACTTAGTACTGAGTCAAGGAGAAAATCTAGTTCTTTTCGAGCCTCCAGAGCTGGACTCGGCAAAGGCAGTCCTTTTAGAACGAGCTCTTTCTGTTTATAGCCGCTCCTTCATCCTGGTCCAAATTTATCAATTCATCAGTGTCTACTTCAGTATCGCTAGAGACGCTATCGCCAGAGCCTATGGTACAACGAGAAAACTATTCTTCGTCTGTTTGATATTCACTTCGCGTACGTTTCTTCCAGTGTAGCGATCTCCAGTATTCTAAAAGAAAACTTGTAAAATCATTTAGAAAGGAAAGGGGACATATGGATACGAGTTAAAGGGGAAGTTAAGGCAAAAATTAAAATTTCACCAGTTGTAGTCTTCGGGGTGCTGAGTCGAATGGTCTTGGTCCGAGAAAGCTGAGACGCTCCCTTCCTACTTGAATCCCAATCGAACTCGCGCACTTCCACCGAAACTGGGTGACTGCGCCCTACTAGATGGGGATTTGTATGCAAAATGTCACTAAAAGCGCCATTTCGTTCTTATAAAAGCACGGATGACCGCGATTGGCCCATATGTTGTAGTCTTTTGGACGCTGAGTCGACTGGTTTTGGTCCGAAAAGGCTGCGATGCAGCGTTCGCCCCTAATTCCCAATCGAACATGGTTGAACAAGTGGTCACGTGCTCCTGCGTACACCAGTCACCTGGTCACCGTGCCTGCAGGGTACAACTTACAGCCTGTTTTGACCTTTTTTGGGTGCAGTCCTGTCACTCGAGTTGAACTCGAGTTAATCCTTGGTGTGAAAGTTGTCGCCTGCTGGCGTGGCGACGAGGTGATTTGGGCACCCAGGAGCACGTGACCGCTTCTTCAACCATATTCGATTGGGAATAAAGGAGGAACGCTGCATCGCAGCCTTTTCGGACCAAAACCAGTCAACTCAGCGTCCAAAAGACTACAACATATGGGCCAATCGCGGTCATCCGTGCTTATATAAGAACGAAATGGCGCTTTTAGTGACATTTCGCATACAAATCCCCATCTCGTAGGGCGCAGTCACCCAGTTTCGGTGGAAGTGCGCGAGTTCGATTGGGATTCAAGTAGGAAGGGAGCGTCTCAGCTTCCTCGGACCAAGACCATTCGACTCAGCACCCCGAAGACTACAACTGGTGAAATTTTGATTTTTGCCTTAACTTCCCCTTTAATGCACATGCCATGCAGGCTGTTTCCCGTGTGTCACGTGATCGTCGCCTTTGGAGTCGACCAATGACATTAGGGACCTTTCGCACCCCGCGTACGGATACGAAACGAATGCTGATTCGTCACCTGGGTTCGAGGATTCGTCAGAGTCCCTGCGGAGAACTCGTTTTCACGAATGGAAGCCTCTTCATTCGTGGCACGCTCCGAATCTGTCAGGTACACATTTATTTGGATAGATACACATGTTTTGCAAGGTACACATTTTTCCCTTGATTCCATGATCCATGCACGTGTGCGTGTAAAAACCCGTAGGTCTACGCCAAACTACCGGCGCCCGCGGCCGTATTCGTAGTTGCCATGCACATTTGCATGACGACTCGCGAAACCTGAAATCTGTTTTCAACGAAACGATTACGAGCCGAATCAAACTTTCGTTTCGCATTCGTTTCGTAGCAAATGCGAAAGGTCCCTATTATCAAACTGCACCGGCTGGAAAGCGCGGTCCTGCCTGCTCAAAAGTCAAAGGTGATGGAACTGGATCAACCGCCCGTCGTCAAGTGACGACGGGTAGGAACCGATTCGACTTGACGATGGGCAGGAACGGATTCCAGTTGACTCAAGCCTCTTGTACGGGCAAAAATACAATCTTGATCAATAATAGAAATGAAACTAAAACCCAAAAACAATTTTAAAATGTAAAGAATTCAAACAAATGAAAAGAACCCAAAGTTAAAGAAAAGAACCCAACCAGCTGCACACGGAGCGCACAAGAGGCAACAGCATAATAAAATTAATAAGTAAGCTTCCTCAAAAACCTATCCGTGAAACCATTAATTTAGACCGGAACTTGGACCTCCGACACATCTAGTGCAGCAGACGAAGCACCAGCCTCCAGAACTACGGGACGTCCGAACAGCTTCCTGCAGCCTCGAAGACACATAATACAAGACCTAAGTAGCGAGAAAGACAACTTACATCGAATATAGGCCACGATGTGACAATACTGCTCGGACTTCTTTGCTGCCAGAAGAGCGACCACCCTTGCGTATAATGCCGATGTCGCCTTCCCCATCCCTTCACTTGCCGCCATCGCCACTGGAACAATGCCTGCTCCACGTTCCTCACCCGTTCCTCAGAATGTCGTATTTTTTCCTCTCTGGTGGCGTTGGTACACAGTGGCACGTGGTGCAGATCGATTTGAGCGAGCATATGGGTTGAACACCCGAACATCAAGAAGGGTTCGCTCAAATCGACTGCCGCACAAACCACTGGCAGCCACATCCAGTCGTGCATTGTTCTCCACATTAGCAGTACGATATCTCAACTCAGAACTGCTCACCAGTCGGCGGCTGCTACACAGGTTCAGTGGAGACTTTCGAGCACTCCTGATCCAACAACTGGGCAGTTGTGTCCCGATTAGCGTTATGTCGTATCGACGGGAAACCTCCACGGGGACATGAAAGCGAGTCCAACACATTGATTTCATGGCCACAGGAGCAGTGGGATGGAAGCTTTGCAGGTGTTCCCTCATAACGGATTCCGTTCCTGCCCGTCGTCACTTGACGACGGGCAGGAATGGAATCCACTGCGTTCATTGGCTCACGAACCTACTTGGTGCGTATTCCGTAAATACAAGGACAACGGAAAGCGCGTGCATGCATGCTCATTAACTTTCCCAAAGACTTGAAAGAGACTTTGGCTTGGGAAGTTGGGTGCACACGTTCCAGTCACTCAAACTCGACCAGTTTTGGAAGAAGGATCTACCGCTGTTCA